CGCACCTGCCCCGAAGAGCCCCGCCGCGCCCGCGGCGCCTGCAGCAGCGGCAGCGGCAGCGGCAGCGACCCGAGCCCGCCCGGGGACTCGCCGAGCCTGGACTCCCTGGAGTCCTTCTCCAACCTGCACTCTTTCCCCAGCAGCTCCGAGTTCAATAGCGAGGAGGGCGCGGAGAGCCGGCTCCCCGAGGAGGAGGGGCGCGCCGGGGGGGCGCCCGGGGCTGCGCCCCTGTGCCGCGAGGAGGGCGAGGACGCCGCCGCCCAGGGCCCGGCGGCCGCCAAGGAGCGCTTCCCCGGGCAGTCTGTGTATCACATCAAGTGGATCCAGTGGAAGGAAGAGAACACACCCATCATCACCCAGAACGAGAACGGGCCCTGCCCTTTGCTGGCCATCCTCAACGTTTTGCTTCTGGCCTGGAAGGTACATTCTGCAGTTCTGCACTCCTACAGCTGCTGGGGAGGGGCACCGCGGGCGAGGAAGCCGCGGCTTGTCGCAGCTTGCTGGCTTCCTTCGCGCGTCGGTCCCCTTAGCTTCCCGGGGAAAATCATTCCAGAATGCCCCTTGCTGAAAACGTATCCATAGGGGCACTGTGTATCAACGTAGACATTTAGTGTGGATGTTGATACGGTGTTTACAAACAAGTAGGGCTTAATTATAAACCTGCTTAGTACTGTAAGCTATATTTTCTGCATTTCTGTCACATGGACAAACAACAGTGACGAAAATGGAGAAAGTGGTCTTCAGAAGTTAGCATCAATGCAGGATATCGTGGAATAAGTTTTGATGTTTGCGTTCAGTCTGTTTTCCTCCCAATGCGGTTGACCCAGGATACTTAGAATGGTGACAAGGAAGTTGTGGTCCTTTAGATAGATTCTATTTAAGGAAAAAAGGGCTCATCTGAGAACCAGTAACCATAACTTTAGTTTAACTGTAGTTTTCATTCTGTTTTGGGGAAGGGGGCAAGGTTTTCTTAGGTTGCCCAAGCTGGCCTTGGACACAGATTCTTCACAACAGGTACATGCTGTCATGCCCAGCCAACTAATACCTCTTCGAAGATTATGCTTTTATTTTATGCTTGATTTTTGTTGTATCTTTGACTCTACGGGAAAGGGTTGGTATTATTACCAGTAACTGTGCAATAGAATGTGACCAGGGAGCTAAAATTATCGACAGCTACCATAAAGAAAGGTATATCCAAAGTAGAGGAGCAAAAAAGAAAAAAGATGAGTTAAGTGTATTGAAAACTCAGTCTCTGAGTTACCTGAGAATGAAGCTACTTATTTCAGCTTTCAATTTCAGGGTGCCAAGAACCTTATCCCAAAACACCTGTTTTTATTTTCAGATTAATAGCTATAGCTGTAGAAGGAATGTTCTGTAGGAAAAAAAAAAAAAAATAGCTTGGATTATTCTAACCAGTTAGGAACAAAATCAAGTAAAGCAAATACTACTTATTACATGCATAATTTTTCCTGTTGCTAGCAAGGGCCAATCCAAAAAATAAAACAAACAAAAAGACAGGCTGAGGATGGAGCTCATTGGTAGAGCCCTTGCCTAGTGTACACAAGGTTTGTCCCCAGCCCACCCCCCACCACAATCTTAAGGAAAAAGTAAGATCGGAAACGTCACTGTTACTTGTGTATAATGGCTCCGGAGTTTTGGAGTGGAGGCCGTGCCTGTTCTTGATGGACTGTCAGAATGTTTCAGATTGCTGCATTGATTTACTTGATGTTATTAAAGAATAATAAATACTGCTGGGCTACACAGAGCAAATGGAAGTGTATTAGATACCCACAAAGGGGAAATTTTTCTTTGGTCTGGCATAGTTCCAGAAAGCTTTATGGAATTTGTGGGTCTTGAACCAAACTTCTAAGGAAAACAGTTTAGAATAACAGAAATTTAGTTCTTGAGGGAGAGGAGAATGAACAACAGTAATGAAGACAGAATGAATATCTGTGTGCTTTCGCGTGTTCATTGGATGACAAGCAGTAAGCTCATATTGGAGAATAATAAAAAACATTTATTGAAAGGCAAAGGAGACTCACTGGCGGTACTTGAGCAGCGATTGTACTTGGCCCTGTTGGCCAGAGTCCCCAATTGCTTCTGTAGATGACTTGGTTTCCCTGAAGGCTTTTCTGTCTTCCTAGCGTCCGTACCGCAGAGCCTCAGAGGGAGGACTGCCCTGACTTCGGCAGGTCCAAGAGCACGACCCCTGTCAGGGTGCAGCGTGTGTAGGGCTAGGGATGCCCAGGTGAGCGCGGAGTGAGTCTGCCCTCCAAAGCCCACTCGCCTGGGGAGGTGGACATAAGCTGATTGCTGAGCAGTGTGCCGCTCCGGTACAGGGTGCAGGCTAATTGGGATGAGCTGGGTAGTGGAAGTTCTCGTAGAAGAGAGAACTGAGAAGCTGGTCTGCAGGCTGGACGAGAGGAGGCCTTCTGGGCTAGGGCGTATTCAGACACGCTGAAGGAGAAAAGGCTTATGCTACCTAGGACCTCCAGCCTTGGCTGAAGTGCGCTGGAAGAAGGGGAGGGAGTGGACTGACGAAATAAAATTGACAGTTTGGGTTAGACTGTGAATGAGCAGGTGTACTGGTGAATTTTGAAGTTTATTTTTTTCTTTTTAATATTTATTTATTTATTTATTTGTGTGTGTGGCCAGCTCAGCCCACCAGGGGGCAGGGCTGGCTGGCATGTGGTGCTGGGGGATTGAACCGGGGTCCCTTGTGCTTTTCTAAGCTTGTTCTAAGTAGATGCTTTAGACCACTGAGCCATCTCACCAGCCCTGAAGTTTATTTTTTTCATGTGTTATTTTTGAAACAGGGTCTCACTGTGCAGTTCAGTCTGACCTTGTACTCACTTTGTAGCCCAGGCTGGTCTCAAACTTGGCAGTAATCCTCTTGCCTCAGCCTCCTGAGTGCTGGGAATACAGGCATGCGCCATTGCACCCAGCTGGTTTATTTTATGAATTATGGTTCTTAGCCTTTTTTTTGGTCTCTAGATTAGTTTTGTTTTATTTTATAGTACTGGGGATTGAACCCAGGTCTTTTGCCCTGAGCTACACTACATCGCCAGCCAATTTTAATTTTTTGTTGTTGTTTTAGACAGGGTCTCAAATAAATTACTGAGGCTTGGGTCAGTCCTGCAGTCCTGCCTGTCTCTCAGACTGCTGGAATTTCAGGCAGGGATTCATGGCTTTCTCTAGCTTTAATGCCCACTAAAATCAGCTATTAGTAATCATTAATGGTTGATAGGAAGATGAGTGTAAATGGAATCATTTTATTTTTATTTTACATTTTTATTCTTTGGTGGAACCAGGGATTGAACTCAGGCCCTTGCGCTTGCCAGCCCAGTGCTTATTCTACTGAGCTATCTCCCTGGCCCTTGGAATCATTTTAATTTTTTTTTTTTTTTTAGAACCAGGGATTGAACTCAGGACCTTGAGCTTGCGAGGCAAGCGCTTATCCTACTGAGCTATCTCCCCAGCCCCCGCTCTGGAATCATTTTAGATAGGAAAGTTATCACCAAAGTTTGATTATATCAGGTTAGGAAAAAAACATAGATTAGGTCTCAGGGAAGAGATCAAAATTGTAGAGAAGAATTAAATTGAGGGATTAGAATATAGATGAAAGAACAACAATCAGAATAAATGGATTCTGTACAGAGCGGAAGGCTATAGTTCTCAGCCTTTTTCTATCTCAGCATACATGAAGAACTACAAATTGCCAACAGAAACGCGTTGCCTACCTTGTTACCTCTTTTGCCCCACTCACTGTTTGCCTTATTCTCCACTAGACAAAGAGAAGAAAGGAGTAAAGGCAGAAGAATCTGAGGCAAGAGCACAAAAATGAAACCAGCATATGTACAGTTTGAAATGTGGAATGGAATAAGAAGTAGAGAACAATGTCATGAGAGAGGCTGTAATTTTAAAACTTGATTAATTACCCTTGTCCAATGTAGTAGCATCAAGGAGCAAATTGAACAGGAAAAATTTTGCCAAAAAGGACAAGTATAGCAACAAGATTCCTGAAAAGTCAGGATAGTACAGAATCCTCAGAATAGGTGGTACAGTTCTCTTCACAAGAAATGAACAGTCTCAGTTTCTAAGGAATAGAACAAAGCAATTGCAGGGGCCAGCCAGATAGCTCAGCAGACGACAGCACCTGCTTAGACAGAGTGCAGCGGCCAGGGTTTAATCCCTGGCGTGCTGTGCCAGCCCGCCCCTGGGTGTGCTGAGACAGTGACTGAGACTGGGTGTGGTGGCTCGCACCTGTAATCCCAGCACTTGGGAGGCTGAAAACAGGAGAATTACTACGAGTCCAATCTATGTAGTAAAACCCTGTAGTCCCTGTAGACTTTGTACTAATATATATAAGAAGAACAAAGAAATTACAGAGACAAGGTCATAGTAGGATAGTGTTAGATGGTAATTGAGCCCTTGTCATTTTCCATTTTTGCAAAATAATTATTGAAGCCATCAGTAATTGAGGAGAGAGATAAAGTATCAAGAAGAGGGTTAGGGTTTTTTCTTCTTCGTCTTCTTCTTCTTCTTGTTCATCTTCTTTGTCTTTGTCATCTTCTTCTGACAGGGTCTCCACTGTGATCTTTAGGCTGGCCTTGAACACTAGCCCAGGATAGCTGCAAACTTGGCAGCTGTCCATCTGCCTGTCTGCTGAGTGCTAGGGCGACAGGTGTGCACCACCTGCCTGGCCTGCCTTTATATTTTTGTGTATGCAGAAATATCATATTAAAAAGTCACTACTTTGTCATACTTTTTTTTGGAAAGAACATTATAGATTCTGAGGTCAACATAATATACATACAAAAAAGAAAAAAACCCTTACGTTGAAGCCTATAGTGCCCATTTTGATGAAGGACATAAAATATTGTCAGATCTAATCATGTCAGCATTAGCTGACATTTTTGTTTTTAGTTAATTTGATTAAGGGTCTTGCCACAGGGATCTGGGGATCGAACTCAGGACTTGCATTTGCCAGGCAGGTGCTTATGCCACTGAGCTATCTCCCCAGCCCAGCATTAGTGTTTTTGTAGAAGAACAAATACAGTGTTTTAATTGAAAATTCTGGAAATACATAGCATGTCCTCCCTAAACTTTTTGGGCAAGGCATTCCTTGCCGCATTTTCATTTTGTAGTGCTAAGGATTGAAACTGTATCTTCAGACGTTTTTATTTTTTATTTTGAGACAGTTTCACTAAAATACCGATAAGCTGCCAAATTGCCCAGGGTGGGCTGAAACTTGCAGTCCTGCTGCGGCCTTCCAGAGTGCTGGGATCGCAGGCACACACTGACAGGCCCAGCTTGTTTTCTTTCTTTGCTTATTAGGAACTAGGGTTGCCTTGCTGTCGGTCAAGGGGGAAATGCCAAGATCCTGAAGCAAGATTTTTTTACACTAGGCTGGTTTTTCC